AGAGCCCCTTGCAGGGCCTAAAGGGGCTCCAGGAGAGCTGGAGAGGGACTGGGGACAAGGCCTGGAGGGACATGTGTTCCCAGTGCCAGAGGGCAGGGCTAGATGGGATATTGGGCAGGAATTCCACCCTGTGAGGGTGGGGAGGCCCTGGAATGAATTTCCCAGAGAAGCTGTGGCTGCCCCTGGATCCCTGGAAGTGTCCAAGCCCTGGGGTAGTGGAAGGTGTCCCTGGGTGAGGCTGGATGAGCTCTTGGTTCTCTCCAACCCAACCCATCCCACGATTCCCTGATTCCATGCTGAGCACAGTGTGGAAGTGCCTGGAGCAGCAGTGATGGAGTTACAGGAGGTTTTAGGGACATGAACACACCCAGCCCCAGTGAGGATGGGGGGGCTGCAGGAGAAAAAAGGGACATGATGTTGTCCTGGGTCAACCCCAGCCCTCAGTACCCCCCTCTCCCTCCCCAGGGGCAGGAGAACAGGAAAGAACAGGTGAACGTGGGTTGGGATAAGAAAAATTTAATAATTGAAACAAAATAATAAGAGCAGCAATACTAATGCTAACTACTAGTACTAAAATATAAATGTTGTTAATACAGTTATAATATACATACAAGAATAATACAGACAATGCTACATTATACATAATAAATTACATAAATGCAATATAATAAATACAGTGATAAGGAGAGGGAGATGAACAGACCCCGGGTGGAACAAGTGATGCCCAGTCACTCTCCCACCACCCCCTGACCAGTGCCCAGCAGTAACTGCCTCCCAGTTTCTGTCCTGGGCAGGACATTCTGTGAGCTGGGACCCCTTTGGCCAGTCCTCCCCCAAATTCTCATGCCCTGGCAGAGGGGGGGGCACTGAAATGTCCTTAATTTGGGGCGAGCAACCCCCAGGACATCTGCCTGTTGCCATCATCATCCTCACCCTAAATCCCAGCTGCTGGGGACAGAACTCTGTCCAGCCCGAGCCAGGGGGGTGCTGGGGACCTGCTGGGGGGCTGTGCTGTGTGTGACCCCCCGTGTGCCCCCCTGTGTGCCCCCCTGTGCCCCCAGAGTGTGAAGGGGGTGATCGAGTGCCTGAAGATCATCACCCGTGCCAAGTCCCAGCGCATCGCCAAGTTCGCCTTCGACTACGCCACCAAGAAGGGCCGGGCCAAGGTCACAGCCGTGCACAAGGCCAACATCATGTGAGTGCCCTGGGACACCACTGTCCCCTGGGGCCTGGGACACCCCTGGGGTCCCCTCTGTGGTGTGTGGTGGCAGCGGTGTCAGGGCCTGCAGGGAGCGGGACACGGCTCTGGGGCTGAGCAGGTACCGATGACTGGGGTCGGTGCAGCAGCTCCAGAACAAAGCTGTCCTCTCCCCCCTGGGGACAGCCCAAGCTCTGACAGGGAGGTCATGGATGCTCCCGTGACTTGGGGTGCCCTGTGTGAGCAGTCAGTTCCTTTCCCAGTTTGCCATGTGGGAATCTGACGGGATGCATTAACTGACCAAACCTGGAATTAGCACCTTCCTGGTGTAAATTCCTGCCAGCTGTGCTTACCTCAAGTTCCTGCCCTGCTGCTTTATCTCCTGGGAGGTTCCTTTTGTGGCCTTGACAGTGCTTGAGACAGGAAATTGTGCTCTCCAAGTCCCTCCAGGTGTGTTTACCTGGCACAAACCACATTCCTCTCAGAGGTGGCAGAAAGGGAGAGAGGGGCTGGCTGGGGAGGAACAAAGCAGCACCAGAAGCCCCAACTCTTATCACAGACCCCAGCTCCATTTGGGCACCTGCCGTTCCTGTTGGACCCCTGGTGCTGTAAGCATTCCCCTGTTTCCCACCAACCCTTCCTGGTGTTTGCCCTCTGCAGGAAGCTGGGGGACGGGCTGTTCCTGCAGTGCTGTAAGGAGGTGGCAGAGCTGTACCCCAAGATCAAATTCGACACCATGATCATCGACAACTGCTGCATGCAGGTGAGCCCCCAAACCTGAGCCCTCCTGCACCACCCACCGCTGCTCCCCCAGGAGCTGGAACCCCAAAAGCTGCACCTGGACCCTTGCCCTGTCCCTCCATCCCTTGTCCAAACCCCTCTCCAGCTCTCCTGGAGCTCTGTTAGGCTCTGGAGGAGACCTTGG